TAAGTCAATTGTTCAATGTTTTGATAATATTTATTTAGTAAGTAAACAAGAAGAAGTTACTTATGCAACATTTTCACGTTTACAAGCTGATATTAACTGTATGAATGATTCAATAAAATATTCATCATGGAAATATCTATTGAATATAGCTTCGTCAGAATTACCATTAAAAACAAATAGTGAATTAGTTAAGATATTGTCGATCTATCAAGGTCATAATGATATTGAAGGAATACGGAAAAGGAGAAATATGGAGCGAACTGATTATGTTTGGCAAACACTAAATAAGACTGGCGATCGATATGGATTCTATTTAAAAAATACAGGAATAAAAAAACAACCACCACCAGACAATTTACTAATTTTTAAAGGATCAGCTTATGGTATAAGACAATATTTTTGATATATTCCATTGATTCTATGAAATATTTCAGGTGCTTTTTCTCGTGCATTCGTTGAATTTGTACTAACAAATGAAGTAGCAAAACAATTGTTGGAATGGTCACGTGATACATATAGTCCAGATGAACATTATTGGGCAACATTAAATTACAATCCACATTTGAATACTTCTGGTGGTTATAAAGGTATGCAAATAAATGAAATAATCACTTAAAAACATAGATCTCATTCTTAAATGTTAGTAAAGTTACATATATCTTTTGTTTTTATCATTTTAGCGAAGACTGATCCAGCTATTTGGACTGGTCGTTATGCTAACTGGGGTGAAAGTCATTGTTATGGGCAGATAGTACGTGGTGTTTGTGTATTTGGTTCTCTTGATCTACCATCTCTACTCAATCGACATGAGCTGATTGCTAATAAATTCTATTTACATACTGATCCAATTGCTTATCAATGTTTAGAAGAACTTATTTTTAATAGATCGAAACTTGATTTACCATTAAATGATGCAACATTCTATCGGCGAATGCCGTTTTTATTGCCATCCTAATTTGTTTATAGTTAATTATTTATATGAGTTTATATCTATTATTTCTTGATATTTAGTGAATTAAATCTCTGATATTTTTTCTGTTGACAATATTTATTTTATTCAATGTAGCATTAATATTCATAATTTATTTCAAGTCAGAGTTGGTTTGGTGTTTTTTTTTTAAATAGTGACGCTATTTCTCATCCACTACCTCTCCTTTCTTTCTATGTTCTCGATTGATAATCTCTCTACATGTGTATTCGATAGTATTTTTTTGTTGTTGTTTCTTCTTTTATCTTTTATATTGGATGTTCCATCTATCTTTAGAATAAAATCTTCATGCCGAACTTCATATTTTGATGTTAAATCTTTTTTGATAGTATCTAACATACTGGTGTCTGTTAACATGTCAATACAATAATTAAGTCGACAAGAGAGTTCAGTTACAACAACATGATCTTAATATAATATACTAATATTATTTTCGTTTATTTCATTATTACATATTCTTGTATCTTATCATATTCATTTTATTCATGAACTTCATGGTCATGATAAACAACTTATTTGGATGTTATTATCCTAAATATTATTTTACATTTTAATTCATATACCTATTTCAATTAGTATGACATATAATCGTATTACAATTGAAATTTTTTGAACAAGTGAATTATATATAGAAAAAAATTCATTAACATAGTTTTTTATCTAAATCTATAATATATACTATACTAAATAATTCTCCAACTGTAAAATATTGAGTGCAAGTAAATTATGATACCCACACCCACCTTTGTTCAAGTTCTTTAGGATAAATTAATAATTTATACTTATTTAATAGCTAATGAATGGTTAATTAATAAAAACCAATGTCATATTTGAACTCGCCACCCTCGATTACCTTCAGAAAAGTTTTATGAAAAATTATTTCTTTTGTTTTCATATTACTCTCGAAACAACCAATGAATTGTGGACACACAAGCAAGCAAACGAATAAATCATACTTATCAAATTCTTCTCTACAAGACAGAGAACACTTTGAGCTATTTTTATCCTTAACAACTATGCATGATAAGAAAATAAAAATAGATCTTCATTACTGTCAACAATGAGATCAATTTGACGTATCGTAATAAATCATTAGATATCAGTACTAATAATAGATTTTACCTGTTTTTGTCCTCAACAATCTATATATATGAGAAGAAAAACATGCTCAATGCAATTGGCATTGCATATCAATTTTATGTATCATAATAAGTTACTAAATATAAGCACTAATAATATTCTTGTCTTCTTTGTCCTCGATAGCCATGCATGAGACGAAGGCAGACATAAGCGTTCAGTGCTGGTAGTATTACATATGTATTTTTTATATCTATTTATGACCTAATAAATACAAGAACTTTTAAAATGTCTGATTTATTATGTCAAGTAGCTATATTTAGTAAGAAAGCAAATAAAAACATAATAATAATATATTTTTATTATAATCTACATCTTTTATCTACCTCATCAGGTGATTTGATATGAGCACTATAAATACACATCGTTTTCTGTACAATGGTATGCATCATAATACTCAGTGGCTTCAATTTTGTTCTTGAACAGGTATGATACTATGAATTATTACAGATTGAGAATAGAATCTATTAGATTTATCTATTACTATTCGAAATTTTCCCTAGATCTAACCATCTATAAAATAATAGACGAGATTATTGTAAACTTGAGAAAATGAATTATTCAATAAATTTTTTAACCCAATTTCATGACACTAGCATTATTCAAAATATTCTCAACAATTCAATTATTCTGTAAAAAATGACATGAGATTATTGTTGTCTTCGATATTATTCCACAGTGTATCTATATTACGCCATTGCTATTGAGAGTCTCGATTAGATAGGATCTTTTTCGCGTAAATTCAATTGTCCATGGTAATTACTGCTTTAATCACAAGGACAACAGTGAGACATTGAAGGGTAACAGTCAATATAGATACCGAAAGAGTGACAGGATTTACTCGTGAATGAGACTACAAGAGTACTGACAGAGACGTTGGTCGATCATATTAACTGATAGAAATATTTAGGTACCAATTATACCAATATTGGTTTTGACAGTACTCATTGAGCGTTGAGATGTTGGTGAGTGATTGAGTGAATGATTTATATACTTTACTGTGAAAAAAATAATATGAATTTTTTTTATATATATATTTCAGAATGTATCGACTTATTGTATTACTACTATTAATATGCTTGTTTATCAAACAGAATAATGCTGATTTCGAATCATCTGATATCGCAGTCGACACCGATCCCTATGCTTCTACACAGAAATGCAACTGGAAGAAATGCAAAGCGCATGGATTTCCAAATTCTACTTTTGGTTATTCAGTAGATTGTTGTACTTTATCAGTACCTTTAAATTATGCTCAACCAAATGAAACTATTAACATTTCTATGACTCGATTCAGCCCGGGTGGACCGTACGCAAGTACAAAAAAAAATACACTTTTTGTGTTAAGCGGTGGACCAGGTCAATCAGGTTGGGATCTATTTTATGATACACAGTTGATTCCAGCTAGTTATGGTATTACTCTGATTTTACCAGATCATCGTGGTACTGGATTATCAACACTATTAAGTTGTGATGAAAATGGATCACAAGATGTAAATGTTGATTGTATTAAATATTTAAAATCAAAATATGGTGTTAACGGATTAAAGCAATTTTCCGTCACATCAGCAGCACATGATTTATCTATACAAATCCAGGCCTATAAAAAGAATAATCCTAGTCGAATTGCTATTTATGCTGTAAACTATGGCACATTTTGGTTAAACCGATTCTTACTCATTTATCCGAACTTAACTCATTCGGCTGTTATGGATGGTCTTTTTCATCCTCTTTTAAGTTCGGTTAGTCGAAATGATCTAGGAGTTGCAACAATAAGTTATGAATTCTTGAAATATTGTGAACAACAAGTAGAATGTGGTCAACATTTTCCAGTTAATCAACAGCCTTTCAAAATGCTCCAGAATATTCTTCACCAAATGGACTTGAATAATCAAATTTGTTTTAAAAAACATTTAATCAAATTTAATTTAAATTCGGAAACTCTTCGAACTTTATTCTTCAATTTAATGGCAAATGGAAATAATTATTTTGATCGTACTATTATACCAGCTGTTATATTTCGTTTAAATCGTTGTAATGCAGATGATGTAAGCATTCTAAAACATTTCTTTCGTGTTAGTTTGAAAGCTACAAATCCTCCTTCCAATCCAAAAAACCCGCCTGGATTTCTGTTCTCTAACGTCACAAATTTTAATATTGTCGAATCAGAAATTTATTTAGCAATGAATGAATCTGATGTTGATAACTCAGTTATAAAGAGATGGTATAATGCAACTGTTTTTGCACAAAAAAATCCTATAAAATATAATGTATTACGTTCACAATGGCCAAAATATCGATTAGATCGATATCGTTATAAAATTTCATCATATTCACCATTGTTGATGATAACTGGACAACTTGATGCCACATTAATTACTTATCATGCTGAGCTTTTAGCATCGATTACAACGAAAACACGAACATTTTATGAAATTCCTCTTGCTGGACATATTACATCCACTCTTGCTCAAGTTGGTTATACTTGTCCATTACAACTAATTTGTTCTTGGTTATTTCCATCTGTATTTCCAAAGGACTGGAAAAATCCTAGTTGTATTCGTGATCTACCAGTAACAATTGACTTTGCCGGAGAAACAAGTCACGGACGAGATATTTCGATGAAATTTTTCAATATAAGTCACCCTTTTGGTCCAAATAACTACGATATTTAAATTTTATATCTTATTCATAAATATTTCTTACTATTATTATTTAATCTATTTTAGCAACAAGAACTAATTGATGGATAAACATATAGTTATCACATTTATCTCTTATTCTTAATAATTTATTCTTTTAGTTTTTCTGAAATTCATATATCGTCTATTTAATGTACTTTTTCATCTCTCTTTCTAAAATAAAATCAACAGTTCTTAATATGAAAAAATGATAATTTTATTTTATACTTATCATGATTGATATTCAAGGATATTTTTTGTTTTTAATAGAAATAAGAAATTCATTATATATCAAACGATTGTATACATACACGAGTATAATTCCTGAACAAAAGCTTTACAGAATTTTATATTCTGATATTATGATCTATTCATTGGCATATTTTTATTAGATATTGGTGGACTTTTTCAAATGTAATATGAGTATTTCATTAGTTGATTAAGTCGAGCAAATGATACAGTGGTTAGTGCAAAACAAAAGTCTTAGAACTACAAAAATTTCGATCTCAATTCAAATATATACTGTAAAAGGAAAAGTTAGATCGGTTTAGACTCATATTTCTACTAGGCTTCGCGATCGGACTGAAGCCGTATCTCAGTTTCGGTTCCTAGGATCATTTATTAAGTTCCGAAAAAGTTATATTCCAATGGCTTGTTAATACACTGGATAGTGATGAATATACTACTATCCTCATTGATATAGATAATAAGAGAATATTAGATTTGGATCGAGTAACTGTTGAGTCTGTTATATGCTGTTGTGCGTATATATAATTTATTTGATGTTGTAAAGTAACTTGAAGACACACTCTCTCAATACTACTGTCACACATGATTAAATAGCATACTATTTGGAATATATCTAAGATATTAACGACAGGAAGAAAACCCAGAGAATAAGTGGGGCAAAACCATTTGTTAGAAAGAAAACGAACACATACGAATAAAACTCTTATTTAATCTTATCTTATGTCATATTATAGAATATAGCATAACAATAACCACTGTTATTTCGAAGTAGGTCGAAAAATTAGTCTATAAATCTCACTGTTTACAATACATTATTTACAAGTTATATCGAATTTATGGGTAGTCAAGTACACTAACTTGAATGTTTATATAAAAAACACATGACTGACAAACATAATCATGACTACATATTCAAATCATACAGTGTATTATCGATATTAAATTATTAATTACATATAATACAACATAAAAAAGAATTTAGTATCAATGAAAGCTGAAATACTCCAGGATACTTCTAATGAAAAGTTACAACATGTGTAAAACTTTTAATTAAAAAATTCCGATTTTATTAACGGGTAAGTGATCGCGAATACATGTAATAAGAAAACTTCCATTAACTCTGTGAGACCCACAATTTAATCTATGGACGAAACCTCTTAAAAACTTGATATTTTGTATGAGCATTGAGTATTATCGACACTTCTATTGATACTTTAAAAAAATATTTTAAGTCATTTTTAACTTTTATCCGTACCCCCCCTACGGGAATGATGAGAACTATTTTAGCCACTTCCTTGGAGGTGCACGAACGGGAGCCTAAAAACTGACTCAGTAGGGTTTTTAATCTCGCACAAATATGTCTTAACTACGAACATTTATTAAATATATTCGAAATTTTTTGAAAACTAGAATTTTTCGCTAGGTGCGACATATATGTCTCACTGAGACTCAAAAGGTTAAGGTCACGTCGAATGTTGAGATAACAGTATGTTTGTATTTTACCTTCTGTTCTCGAGTTTTTGATTTCACATTTCCATTGGAAATTAATTCGAACTCTAATATAGTTTATAAAGCATTTACAGATAATTTTTTTATTATTTACATATAATCTTACTGAATTAAAATAATATTTAACAAACAGATCAAGCTTAAATACATTTGGTCGATGACAAAAAAATAAAATAAAATAAACATAAAAGTTTTAATCTCTATAATTAAGCATACGTAAATACGAAAACAAAAATACACTTCTTAATAAATCACATATACAGGCACATATTAATGAAAAAATAAATATAATCTATAGTAATGATCTCATAGAGACTGTTTACAAAATTTAGAGAATATAAAAAGAAAAACATAGATTTTTTTTTCCTAGAAGATTTGTTCAGTACCATCATCATTTATTCTTTCTTCATCAAATGACAAAAAAAGTGATTCTTCATCATTGATCATAGATGATTCCCAATCTTCTGGATTTTCATTTTCAATAAAGAAATCAATGGATTCGTCTATGAGAAAAGAAAGAAAAAATTCCTTTAAAAATAAAAATTACCGATGTATTTCATACTTTTTGTGTCTGATTTTACATTATTGAAATCTACATGTGCTAAAGAAAGTATATCATAATTAATCTTTTCAAAAACTAAACAAAAATGTTTTTACCTATTGAAATAGTTGTTTCATAAGTATTTGATAGTTTCTACAATAAATAAATAAATGATAAGAATTAATCAAACAATTTTCATTTTACCGGTATTTTAATTCGTTTTTTATTTGTTGTTATTATATTTTGTTGATCATCTTCTGTTGTAATTTCAGATTTGACTGTTTTACTAAGCATTATTGTTCGAGTTATATCTTTTGCATGTTGTAAATCAACTTTATGATAATTTCGTAAATGTCGATAGAGATTTACTGGACACGGGCGATCACAAGGAATATTTTTTACAAATCTGGAAAATTTTTTTAATAAAGTTGATTTTCCATTATTCGATGTTGTTGAATAAGGACATAAACATTTATATGGTACAATATCAATTTCTTCCGTTACTGTTGTATTTGTTGATGTCGATTGTTTATTATTATTATTATTAGGAACAACATCATCAATAACTGTTGACTCTGTATTGGTTCGGATGGAACGAATTAGACGAAGTGCAAGTTCACCACTCATTTGATGATAATGTCTAGAATGAAATAATCAAATTAATTCAATGTATATATTTTTTTAATGAGAAGGTAAACATATATGATATCTTTCCGAAAGTTCAGAAACACATTATTATTCTCTAGTTTTATATTTTATGGAATTCGAATGCACAATTTCGATCGATTAACTATATAATGATCGTGATTGCGTTGCTAATTTTTTCTATCTTCATTTTTAACTACAGAACGGAGAACATCAATAAGATAGCTATCAGAAAAAATTCTATTAAAAAGAATTTTGAATACTGCACGTTCTTAATTATTACGAAACAATATATTGATTTAGAAAAATTCTTTTAGCTTATTGAATTTTGAATTATAAAAACTTACTGAAGATGAGCGAAAAGAATAAATTTTTCATTGGCTTTATTACAAGGTACATTTAATAGAGATTGTTCTTGAATATCTACATTTGATATTGTTCCTGGATTTGTTAATGGACAATAATGTCGAAATCTTCGATCATCATTATAAATATTTCTAAAATTAAAAATAATTTCTATTATGTGGTTTTTTATTCTTCTTCTAAATACATACGGATTTGTATTTAAAACAGCATCATCTTTTTGAAATAAAATTATTTCTCGAATATCATTTTCAATTGATGATTTTTGTTTACTTTCAATCGATGATGACATCATTGTTTTAACAATTTTTTTCGCTGATTTTATATTTAAATTATGTGAAACACGTAAATGTGATAATAATAAACATTGTTTTATATGTCGACAATTATAATTTTTTATATGATGATTGGATAATGTTAAATTAAATACATTATTATATCCATATGAAAATGGACATCGACCTTTATGCCAATGAACTGAATGTGAAAATAATTCTTGTGTATTATTAAATATTAATTCATTTGTTGTAGTACTACGATGAGATTTTTTTTCATCAATATGATTATTCATACGATCAAGAACAATTTTATTTGCTAAAATATATATAGCATAGAATTAAATTACAAAAAAAATTATTTTTGTTTTATACCGGCAGTATTGGAAAGATTATGTTTATACATAAGATGTTTTTTCAGTGATGATTGTACAGAAGAATCCGTACAAGGAAAATTTGGCATATTGAAACTGTAATAATAATAATAAAATAGGAAAATAATAGAAGTTTATGAAAAGGACATTTATTACCTTTTTTTAATGCCATATATTCCATAATATGTTAATGGACAAATACCCTCGAAACTATGAATTATTTTTTCGTTCATAAGGATGAAGTAAGTATAAGTAAATATGCCAAATATTTAATAGTCTTGTCATAATAGAAACAGAAGCCAATTGATTGATGAAGGTCGAGAGTCAATTTTGATTGGTTAAAAATACTGATCAATAAAGAAAAGAGCAAGCAAATAAATAAATGAATGTACATTGATCTTAGAATTACTCAACATTTTAAGAATATTGTGCAAGAACTTTTTATTAGTTCATATTTAAAGCAAAGATAAATTGTATTTTCTCTCCACTGAAATAGATTTTAGTAGTTCTATGCTGAAAATTCATTCTAGCACGTATCATTTTCAACGTAACCAAGGAGAAGTATATGAACAGTTTAGATTTACTGACAGTTTTTCAGTACTTATTCTTAACTGTATTGAAGATTCTATTCTATTGTATCGAATTCTAATACATAATCAAGTTTATCAGTCATTCGAAAATTAATTTTGAGAAATAGGAAATCTTTGTATTTAGATTTTTTTTCGTTCTTGCAATGTCAACACCTTCAGC